ACTCCAGCCTGGGTGACAGAGTAAGACTCTGTCTAAAAAACAAAAAAAACCAAAAGCTAAACTCTGTATCTTCCTTGCACCAATTTGCTATGCCTCCTATAGCTCACCTCTCGGTAAATGGGGCTACTCTTTACCAAATTGCCCAAGGAGAAACCCAAGTACTCTTCCAATTTTTTCCACTCTCTGCAGAGAATCAAAAAACTCCTGGCAATCTGTCCTAGAATTGTTTGAAACACATAACTTTCCTCTAGCCCTCCTGCCATTATCCTGGTCTCTACAAACATTGTCTCTCACTTGACCAGAATTCTCCTCTTCAGATGATACCCCTGACCTTCAGTAATAGCTTCCTAACACCTCTCTCCCTCCCTCCTTTCCTCCCCGCCCCTCTTTCTTTCTTTTTTTCTTTTGTGAGACAGTCTCACTCTGTCACCCAGGCTGTGGCTCAGTGTAGCCTCAATCTCTGGGGCTTAGGTGATCCTCCTGCCTTATTATCCCAAGTACCTGGGACCACAGGTGCACAGGACCACACTCCCAGGATCAAGTGATCCTCCTGCCTCAGTCTCCCAAATTCCTAGGATTAGAGAGGCACATGCCACCATGCCCGGCTAATTAAAAAAAAATTTTGTTTTTTTTTGTAGAGATGGGGACTCCCTATCTTGCCAGGGCCAGTTTTGAACTCTTAGGCTCAAGTGATCCTCCTGCCTGGGCCACCCAAAGTGTTGGGATTACAGACTTGAGCCATTGCACCCACCCTACTCTTAAACTTTTGGAATCTAGTTTCCATCCCATAATCAGAGGGTGTTTCTAAAATATAAATCTGGTCAGATTATTCCCTTGCTTAAAATTCTTCATTGGCTTTCCACTGCCCTTGGGAAAAAGACTAATCATTACCCTTGATGTTGCTTAGAAAACGCTACATAGTATCTTTGTTCTCTAATTACATAGCTGGCTACTTTCCTCCCTGCTCTCTATCCTCTGCCATTTCACATGCATTTTGCTTTCTTTGCTCTTGCACAGGCTTCTCTCTCTTGACTGGCTCACTCCTATTCCTTTAGGTCCCCACTCAGCCATCATCACTTTCTCTAGGAAGTTTCAACTTCAGGTCTATGGTAAGCACCTGATTGTGAAGTTCATAAAGCACCCAAATTCCTTTATTCCTCATCTCACACTATGAAATAACAGCTTGTTTAATTATTTTCTCTCCTTTTAAATCACTAGACTGTTGTGTCCCCAGCCCCTAGCACGATTCCTGGAATAGAGTAAGTACTTGATAGTAATATTTTACAGAATGAAAGAACGAGTACTTACCAAACAATTATTTGATATTCTTTCAGTACTCTCTCATTATAGGGCAGACAATGCACTGATCAACCAACTTGAGCATTCTAGGCCACTTAAATTTTATTTTTTCACTGCTGTTAAGAGGACGTAAAAAGTACTACATCTGGTATAATAAAACATATTCATACAGTTTTTTTTTTTTTTGAAACAAAGTTTCACTCTTGTCCCCCAGGTTGGAGTGCAATGGCATGATCTCAGCTAAGTTCAACCTCCACCTCCCAGGTTGAAGCCATTTTTCTGCCTCCCAAGGAGCTGGGATTACAGGTGCTGGCCACCACGCCTGGCTAATTTTTGCATTTTTAGTAGAGACAGGGTTTCACCATGTTGGCCAGGCTGGTCTTGAACTCCTGACCTCATAATCTGCCTGCCTCGGCCTCCCAATGTACTGGGATTACAGGCATGAGCCACCACATTTGGCCTTACACAGTTTTTTGACAGGTTGATCTCCTGTCTTTTCCTCAATTCCTAAGAAACACCCATTAGCATTGTTGCTGAAGAAACTATCCTGTCTCCAGTCACCTCAAACTTCTGCTCCCTAGATGTTTATTTCCTACTTGCTATATCCTTTACTAGGAATTCCCTCCCCTCCTGGTTCATGGTCTGCTAGACCTGCAACACTTGGCTCTTTCCCTAGTCCCCACAGTATCCCAGGTACTTATTGTAGTACAATAAAGGAGCTTTCAGTGAGCATTTTACTAAAAGCCTGTGTCAGTGACTAACATAGAAAGAGATGGCAAGATTTAACTTCTGAATTCCCCGCCCCATCACTTACTAGTTCTGTAACCATATCACCAAAAGCGCAAGTCATTACATCTCTTTAAGACTAATTTTCTTTGCCCGGTGCATTGGTTCGTGCCTGTAGTTTCAACACTTTGGGACACTGAGGTGGGAGGATCACTTGAGTTTAGGAGTTCAAGACCAGCCTGGGCAACATGGCAAAACCCTGTCTCTACAAAAAATGCAAAAATTAGCCAGCATGGGGGCACAGCCTGTTTTTGCAGCTACTTGGAAGGCTGAGGTGGGAAAATCACTTCAGCATGGGAGGTAGAGGCTGCAGTGAATTGTGATTGCATCACTGCACTCCAGCCTGGGTGACAGAACGAGATCCTGTCTCAAACACTCCTTTGTCTTTGAATGGGAATGATATCACAAAGAAGAAGAGAGAAGTTTTAGGTTAAGTTTTCCTACTCTCCAAAGCAGAGAAAAATAAGCTGAATACTTAAAATAACTGAAAACTTGAACTCCTTTCTTTATAAATCCCATTTAATAGTCCTCTAATATTCATGGCTGCCAGAATCTAGGCTATTTTTTTTTTTTTTAAGATGAAGTCTTGCTCTGTCACTCAGGCTAGAGTGCAATGACATGATCTTAGCTCACTGCAACCTGTGCCTCCCGGGTTCAAGTGATTCTTCTGCCTCAACCTCCCAAGTAGCTGGGATTACAGATGCCCGCCACCACACCCTGCAAATTTTTGTATTTTTAGTAGAGACAGGGTTTTAACATGTTGGTCAGGCTTGTCTTGAACTCCTGACTTCAGGTGATCCATCCACCTTGGCCTCCTAAAGTACTGGGATTACAGGCATGAGCCACAGTGCCTGGCCTCTAGGCTACTTTTTATCACACTTTTAATCAAATTTTCACATTACAACAACTCCTAGTTGGCTGAGGATTACTTTATCTGTTCTTTTCCAAGTCACTTCAGAAGTTTCTCCAAATATAGTGGCTGTTTCTGAAATAAAGTACATGGAAAGAGATTCTTCTCCTTGACGGAAAAGGACAAAATACTTTTTTTTAAAGGTTCTCAATGACTCATTGTGATGGGAGGGGAAGAAGAGGCAAAGGAAAAAAGCCAATTTCAGTAAAAGATTTCAAGAAGTTGGTAAGAAAAATATAGGGTGGAAACTTTGTTTTTCTGCTACCAAAAAAAGATACTAGAACAGAATGAGGATCAAAGCAAGAAATATGAGTGAGGCCAGACCATCTGGCAAACTCTTCAAACTCATCTTTCGTACTGTCCCCATTAAATAGCATATTTAAACATGAACCTTTGCTGACTCTACCAAGAATCTTAAAAATGCCCAAGTTTCTGTAGTAGAACTCACTGAAACCTGGTGAATACTAATATTACCTAAAAGCCCAGCAATATAGGGGAAATTCTCAGACTGGATGTAATGAATAAGAAGGACAATGTTGTTTCTTGCAGATTTGTTTCTTGCCTGCAGTAAATCCTGCCTTGCACTCTAAATCCTTGCTAGACTATATAAACAGAGTTGGAGATTACAGGTCTCAGGCATGCAACTCCTGTAGCTTTGTCATTTCTCCTTTGGCTGGCTTCAGAGAGGAATCAATCCCCCAAGGGCAGAGATGATGAGGGTGTGTGGCACTAGAAGAGCTGATTTTGGAGTGGGAACTTTGACTTCTTATCTTACTTGGCTCCCACTTTCTATCACCCGTTTTTTTTTTGACACCGGTTTTGCTATGTTGAGACCCAGGGTGGTCTCAAATTCCTGAACTCAAGCAATCCCACCAAGGCCTTCCAAAGGGCTGACGTTGCAGATGTGAGTCACTGCACCTAGACACATTATACTTTTAAAGTTACTTTTTTTTTGAGACGGAGTTTCGCTCTTGTTGCCCAGGCTGGAGTGCAATGGCGCGATCTCGGCTCACCGCAACCTCCGCCTCCTGGGTTCAGTCAATTCTCCTGCCTCAGCCTCCTGAGTAGCTGGGATTACAGGCACGCACCACCATGCCCAGCTAATTTTTTGTATTTTTAGTAGAGACGGGGTTTCACCATGTTGACCAGGATGGTCTCGATCTCTTGACCTCGTGATCCACCCGCCTTAGCCTCCCAAAGTGCTGGGATTACAGGCTTGAGCCACCGCGCCCGGCCCTATCACCTGTTTTAAAGATGTTTAGTACCTTGAAAGTACATGGAACACACTGGTAGCGTTAACTAGGTGCCCTTATCTACCCTATGTAGATGTGCCCTATCTATGTAAACTGTAACTTAGCTGAGAGAAAGTTTAGCTGAAAGTTTTGGCAAGAAAGGGCACAACCCAGTCTACGGAAAATACAAAGAGCCACACTTGGGGAAAATGGCTTGGCAAATGGCTGCCTTTGGTGAATACCCGGAGTACACTTCTAGAAGGAGATTCAAAGTTCATACACTGACCGTCTCCCCTCGCGTCCCCTCTCCCCCTTACCTCGGATCACGGAAAGTGAAGTAGGGTGGGGGAAGGGAGCAATGGCAACGTTGGACGCTCACGGCAGGGGACAGAGTAACCAAAAAGAGTAGTTCCCGGGGGAGAGAGAGAAGGCCGGTGCAGAGGTGAAAGGGAAAGACGGTGGGCGGATGGAGAGGTGAGGGCAAGAAAGTGACAGCAGGGACCGGGCAGGGCTGGAGGAGAGTGGGCGAGAGCCAGAAAAGAGGAGGCTCAGGAGTAAAAGGGTGGAAGGCCAAGAGTAACAGCTCAGGGTGGGATCCGGGACAAGGGAGGGTATGAAGTGAGAGCTGAGCATGGGACAGGGCCGCAGGAACACGAGGTCCGGCCAAAAAGGGGCTGGGCCAAGAAGGTGGTCCCGCCCGAGGATGGTTCAGGGAATGGACGGAAAAGATTCAAGTCCTGGCTTCTTGGTCCCTTGGCGCCACCCTCACTCGCCTGCAGGATCCGGGCTCGCACTGCCGCCGCCGCCACCACCGCCGCCATGGCTCTCGGCCGCCCTAGCTGAGGACCCCGCGCCTCTACTGCCCAGAAGCACTATAGCTGCCAGGCCTCGCCCTCCATCCTGCCGGGCTTGCTCATTGGTGGGGAGGACTATTTTTTCCAGCCAGTCACGCGAACTAACACCTGATTCCGCCCCTCACACCCTAGTCCTGTGAATAAGTGATTGGTCAGGAGCGAAAAAGCTCTCGCCCTCTCCCACCTCAGCCAATGCTGTTGGCGGAGGTAGAGAAGACGCCCCTGACTTGGACACTCCATACTCTGCACACGGGGAAGACGCCCCCTAACCCGGAACTCCGATTGGCCAAGGGCGCAACCGAGGCCCCGCCCTCTCACTGAGAAAGGTAAATAAGACCCTCTAAGAATTTTGCAGTCGCTCCACCTCAACAGCTGCGTGAGGGGCGTGGCTATCATTGGGGGCGTGGCTAGGCAAAGATTGCCCTATGAGGCGAGGGAATGAGACTAGGCTGCGAGTTGGGGATAGGGTTTCTCTTTGGGGGAGTGGCTTATGGGTCCTCGTTTTCCCGCCGACGGTTGGCCACGTCACGTGACATGGGTTGGAAGATGGCGTCTCCCACAGACGGTAAGAGCCGGCTCCTAGATCTTTGCCTGCAGCCTCATTTGCTCTACCGGCAACGTCTACTCTGTCTCTGCCCCTCGAACATACATTTCTTTCTTGGGCTCTTCTCCTTTCCCTTTTACTTTTTTCTTGAGATCCATCGCCGTCTTCAGCTCACTGGTTCTTCACAGCAGCTCCGGAGGTACCCAGTTTCCCTGCTCTGTACCAGGCGTGTGGAGGAGGGCACTAGGGAGGGACTCACTTTGGGTAAAACGACAGGGGGTTGCCCTGGTCCTTCCTTATCTCTATTTGGGTGAGGCTGAGGGCCTCGGAGGAGATGATACTGGAGGAAAGGACGTACCTTACAGTAGTCTCCTCCTTGGAGTATCACACTGAAGGATCAGTTTTCTTCTGATTGAGCGCACGGATGGAACGATTCTCACAAACTCTAGCAGTGGCTGCTGGCTGACCTCATCTCGATACTGAACCGCAAGAGAAACATGATCTCTTTCCTGTCTCTTCAGTTTGGGACCACTGCCGTGGCAGCAAGATAAGCGGGGGACGTTCTTGGCCCCTCACCGTGAGAGTCGCGAGGAGAATGAGTATTGAGCTTTTAAGTGTTGTCTTGCACAGGTCGCAACCTCTTTTGCATCTGCTTTTTGTGTTGTTTCTTCAGGCTGAGTGAATGAACGATTTCTGTTTGTGTATTGTAAAATGCAAGTCATTTCAAGTAACAATTAGGTTGTCTTGGTATATTCCTGTGCTTTTGCGCTCGGTTCTGCTTTAGAGAGTTAGGGTCTTGCAGTCATTTTTAAACTCATTTTTGTTTCTGCCCTTCCCATCCCAACTATATATATCGATTCCATTGATATATAGGTTTCCCTCCCTTAGACAAACACATTTCGTATTTGGAAGGCATCTTGAAAGTTCATTACAGGAATGAGGAAATTGAAGCCAAGGTGAGCTGTATTAAGTACCTGCTACATGAAACGCATAATGCTAGGTGCTTTGAGAGACCAAAAGATGACTCAAACATATAAACATTTTTTTTTTTTCAGTTTCAGATCTCTTTTTAGATGTCACCTCCCAAAGGGTCTCTTAAAACACAGCATCCGGAGTCGCTCTTCCCCACCATTATTCATTATCTCAGTATCTTCCTTGTCAGCATAGTAATTCTGTTAACTTTGCCCCTTTCACGCTAGATTATAAATTTCAAGTTTGTCTTGTTTATAGTTGGATCCCAGGGTTTAGCACAGTGCCTGGCAAACAGTAGGTCTTTAATTAGCATTTATTGAAAGACTGATTAGATATATGCAGAAATAATATATTACTTGATCTTAGTTTTAAGTTCAGCCGAGTCTTAAAGTTTTTGAGCACAGGTACATACTGTATTAGAAATTATGGCTGGGTGTGGTGGCTCATGCCTGTAATCCCAGGACTTTGGGAGGCTGAGGTGGGCAGATTGCCCGAGCTCAGGAGTTCAAGACCACCTAGACAACATGATGAAACCCAGTCTCTACAAAAAAATACAAAAATTAGCTGGGCATGGTGCTACACACCTGTAATCTCAGTTTAGGAGGCTGAGGCAGGAGAATCTCTTGAGCCCTGGGGTGGAGGCTGCAGTGAACCATGTTCATGCCACTGCACTCCAGTCTGGGTGACAAAGCGAGACCCCCATCTCAAAAAAAAAAAAAAGGAAAAAAAAGAAATAATGGATGTTTGGAGTCAAAAGAGAGTCTCCTGCCTGGGTGCTCTCTTGCTAAAATGTCCTTCTCTTGCCAGAAAGAAGGGCATTTAAAAAGCAAGGCAAGGGAATAGGGAGTTACTGTTAACGGGTACCAAATTTCAGTTTAGGTAGGTGAAAAACATTCTGGAAATGAATGTGCTGATGATTGCACAATTAATGTACTTAATACCACTGAACTGTATGCTTAAAAGTTGTTAAAATGGTCAAATTTATGTATATTTCACCACAATTTAAAATAACAAAGCCAAGTGATAGAAGTAGAGGTAATGGTTATTAAATTTTTTAGTTTATTTTTAAGTTGTTTTTACAGATTTTGGGGATTTTAAAGATGTGTTCCTTGAGTTGGATTTTTTTCCCTGTCTTCTCAATTTAATTTCCTTTCTTTGGCCAGGAAGAGTATTAAAAACATTATATTTTTTTTCTTTGGTCTTCTAGCCATCTCTATGGTCACTTTATTTGCAGTCTTTATTTTCTAAGTTTTCATTCTTATCTCTTACAGTGTTTCACTCTTCTCCACCTAATCTTTTCATTTTAATCTGACAAAATCAAGTCTAGCACTTTGAACTTAAATTCATCTTCTAAATAAGTATCTCATTCTAAAATATTCCATGGCCTAGCTCTCTCACTTCTATTTTTAGTGTTCCACCTGCCACTGTCTTTAAAATTTAATTCAAACAATATTGATTTTAAAATGTTTTTCATTTGCTCTTTTGTCTTTTTCATGCTAAATTTGCTGGAACTTCTTTGAAAAGGAGAAAACTGAAATTCAAATACAGCCATCTAATTACTTAATTTGTGAGAGTAAGACTCACTGCAGAGTTCTATCCCAGAATGTGGTATCATAAGGCCACCCATGTAGTTTATTAGATCCTACCTTCAATGATTTTTTTTTTTAAATTTTCTTTTAGAGACAGGGTCTCTCTCGCTCTATTGCCGATGCTGAAATGCAGTGGTATGATTATAGCTCCCAGCATCCTCAAAGGTTCAAGTGATCATCCCATCTCAGCCTCCTAAGTAGCTGATACTACAGGCTCACACCACCATGCCCAGCTAATTTATTATTATTATTTATTTTGTTTTGAGATGGAGTCTCATACTGTCACCCAGGCTGGAGTGCCATGGCACCATCTTGGGTCACTGCAACCTCTGCCTCCTGGGTTCAAGTGATTCTCATGCCTCAGCCTCTCCAATAGCTGGGATTATAGGCACATGCCACCACACCTGGCTAATTTTTGTATTTTTAGTAAAGATGGGGTTTCACCATGTTGCCCAGGCTGGCCTTAAACTCCTGACCTCAGGTGATCCACTCACCTTGGCCTCCCAAAGTGCTGGGATTACAGGCATGAGCCACTGTGCCCCACCTTATTATTTTTTGTAGAGATGGAGTCTCACTCTGTTGCCCAGGCTGATCTCAAACTCCTGGGCTCAGGCAATCTTCCTGCCTCAGCTTCCCAAAGCACTGGGATTACAGATACGAGCCATTGCACCTGGCCCAATAACTATTTTTGTTATGGTTGAGCTTTCCATCAGTAACATTCCTCAGAAATTGATAACAAAGAGAAGCTAATTTTTAGATGCTTTAGTTAAGGCAATATATTAGTTGAGTTCTTTACAATTAAAATGCCATTGAAATTCCTTTGGGATATTTGGCAAAACAAATTCGGTTTAGAGAAAAGTACATGTTGAAAAATTTTGTACATATGTATATTTTCTGGAGAGTGAGTTTATAGTTTTTTTTTCCAGACTTCCAAAGATGTGGCTTACCCAGAAAATGTTAAGAACCACTGTTTATAGCATTAAATGAACTAGTTATGCAACTGGTTAGCATACTGAGCATACAGTAAAAACTCAACAAATGTTAATATTGAGTACTACTGTGTGCAAGGGAAGAGTGGAAGGGAAATATGTCAAATAATTAGGCAGAGGCTGAATCATGTAAGATTTTATGGAGCATGGTAGATATACACTGACAGATTTAGCTGGAGGAACTTTAAGCTGGAGAGTGATATGAACTGATTGACATTTTAAAAAATCAATTCTGGCCACTTTATGGAGAATAGATTTAGGGGTGTGAAGGGGAAAGGATAAGAATGGGAACAGAGAGATCTGTCGAGAGGCTGTTGAATTAGTCCAGGAAAGAAGGGATGGTTCCCTGGATTATTTGATTTCAGGGTGTATTTTGAAGGTAGAAACAACTGGATTTACTGGTGGATTGGTTATGGAAGGGTGAAGGAAAAGAAAATATGAAGGATGATATCTGGGTTTTTTATTTGAGAATTGGGGTTTATGGTGGTGCTATTTCTTGAGATGGGAGAAGATTGGATTGGGGGAATATGGTTTTGAAGATAATTAGGTTTAAGTGGGGTTTTTTGTTTGTTTGTGTTTTTTTTTTTTTTTTTTGACAGAGTCTTGCTCTGTCATCCAGACAAGTGTACAGTGGCACGATCTTGGCTCACTGCAACATCTGCCTCTCAAGTTCAAGTGATTCTTCTGCCTCAGCCTCCCAAGTAGCTGGGATTACAGATGTCCACCACCATACTTGCCTAATTTTTGTATTTTTAGCAGAGACGGGTTTTCACCATGTTGTCCAGGCTGGTCTCCAACTCCTGACCTCAGGTGGTCTACCCCCCTCGGCCTCCCAAAGTGCTAGGATTACAGGCATGAGCCACTGCACCGGGCCGTTTTTTGTTTTGTTTTTGAGACAAAGTATGGCTCTATCACCCAGGCTGGAGTGCAGCTACATGACCTTAGCTCACTGCAGCCCCGGCATCCGGACTTAAGCCATCCTCCTACCTCAGCCTCCCAAGTAGCTGAGATTACAGGCTAATTTTTAAATTTTTTGTA